ATTTGTCTTTGAGATGTGAAACTCAGTGAGAGGGTCTCAAAGTGTTTTTCCATTAATGACGACTGAACGTGTTGTCATGTCCATCGGATACCCTGGAGACTCTATGTCCAACTGAACGGCACCACTCAAGGGTTTTTAGAGTCCAGGTTGGCTAATGGCTAGCCAAACGAGCACTCCTTGTTTCTTCAGGCTTTTTGAAACAACTGTTTGAAAAAAATGACGTACCAGCATGAAGGAAAGCTACAGTAGCTACTCCTAAACCTCTACTCTTCAACATGACACGTTCAGTTTGTCGCTGTTTTCTCAACAGAACAGCGTCCACGTTACGACCATAAGCCCTTTACGGCCCCATGAGTCAAACTCAAGGCCCGCGGGTCAAATATGGCCCTTGTTAACATCTTACCTGGCCCCCAATATGACGTTTTAACAATAAAATATCTTAATCGCTTCTCGTTTAACTTGAAAATGTGAGAATACTTCATTTAGTGCAGACTTATCACAGTTGGCCAACTTTGGAGCCAAAAATCATTAGTTTGAATTTATCCATGTTTTTCCAATTTGTTGAGGGAAAAGTGACAGAGACATTAAATCAAACGGATAAACTCTTGTTCAGGGATCTGTAACCAAGAAAAGACGTCAGGTCTCTGAATGAAACTGGCCCTTTGTTTGAAATACGTTTTTGATTTTGACGCCTTTTGTAACAAGTTCGACACAAAACTGACACGTCGATCCGGAGAAAAACACTTAGGATCAACATAAACACCACAAGGCTACAAGGAGCAGAGGTCACAAAGGAGCAGGACTTCAAGGACTTGGAGTCCACTGTCCAGGAACATGGGGAGTGTGGTCAAGAGGTGAAGAAGAGAGTCCAGGCAGGATGGAGTGATGGAGAAAAGTTTCAGGAGTGATTTGTGACAAAAAAGTGTCAGCAAAGGTCAAAGGAAAAGTTTACAAGACAGTGGTGAGACCAGCTGTGTTGTATGGTCTGGAGACAGAGACATGGACAAAAAGACAGGAGACAGAACTGGAAGTGGCAGAAATGAAGATGTTGAGGTTCTCCTTAGGAGAGACAAGGATGGAGAAGATTAGGAATGAGATCATCAGAGGTACAGCACAGGTTGAACAACTGGGAGATAAAGTTAGAGAGGACACACTGAGATGGTTTGGACATGTCCAGAGGAGGGACAGTGGTTTGGGCATGTCCAGAGGAGGGACAGGGGTTTGAACATGTCCAGAGGAGGGACAGTGGTTTGGACATGTCCAGAGGAAGGACAGTGGTTTAGACATGTCCAGAGGAGGGACAGGGGTTTGGACATGTCCAGAGGAGGGACAGTGGTTTGGACATGTCCAGAGGAGGGACAGTGGGTATACTGGTAGAAGGATGTTAGAAATGCAGCTACAGGAAAAAGACAAAGAGAAGACATATGGATGCAGCTAGAGAGGACATAGAGGTAGATGGAGTGAGGACAGAGGACACACAGGACAGAGAGAGGACAGAGTGAGATGGAGGAGGAAGACCATTAGAGATGTGATGTTGGTGAACGATCCGAATCATCTGAACGTCTCGTTACAACAAGTGAAGAGCTGCTCCTGCTTTACTTTTTATTCCTCCTCGTCACTTCTTCATGTTTTCCTCTTTAAGTGCAGAGACAAAGAGACACTCGCTCTATGGCTCTCCTGCGCTTTGTCACTGAGACAAAGGAGAACAGGGGAGGAGTGCAGCAGCTCGGGTGTGTGGTGTGTGTGTGTGTGGTGTGTGTGTGTGTGTGTGTGTGTTAAGGGGGGGGGGGGGGGGGGTCCCAGACACTGACAATGTATGATAAATTCAAATGTAATAAAATGAAAATGAAAAGGCAAACAGATCGTCAGAGCTCCATCTCTAATGACTGAACTTCAGAACTCACTCTCTTCAACAAAAAGGATTTAAATTCAAAACATGAAGAATTATCTCGTTAATCTCAACAACTTCAAATAAGAAGCAAAGACAGAAGTCAAAATAAACGAACAGAGACTTTCTGCTGATTAATCAGGACGATCTTCACACAGAGCAGATGGAGAAACACCGGACCCCTTAGAGAACCGGCCGCCACGTGTTGTCGCTCAGACACATGTTGGGGATGACTCTCAGCTACCACCACGTCAAACTTCAGCCTAATCTCACAGACTTTTACCCATTTATGTTTGAAACAATCACTAACAAACCTGCACACACAGCTAAACTTCGGCCACAGACCTGCTCCTGCAGCCGAAACATCTTCAGCTCGTTAAACGTTTTGAGCTGTCATGAATGAAGCCGGCGGGCACCAACCTCCATCTAGACCAGGACGAGCAGGAGGTGCTCAGAACGGATGACGTCATCAACAACGTGGCCTTTAGCTAACGGATCAGGCGACTTTACGCTGGTTTGAAGTTAACGGTTGAGTAACTCTGTTGGTTTCTGCCACGAAGAAACTTTTCTTTCTGTCCCAGTGAATCAAAGCGCAACTCAGGACGACAAACTGGCGAGTTTAAGTGAACCAGCGGCGACTGCAGCACAGGAAGTTCAGTCTGAAGCCACCGGCCGTTAAAGCGAACCTTCGGTCGGAGCTGTGCAGGAAACAAACGGTCCACTTCACCAAAACACAGATGAGTTCATCATCTGCAGCAAAACGTTTCACTTTGAACACGTTAAACCACCGCGCTGCGTCTGACCCATGCACAAAACCTTCAGCTGCTACAAAACAAACAAGCAGCTTCTTCTTTAGCTAATTACCGTTGTTGGGTTTTAAATATCCTGCAGGACAAAATCCAGTAGTTTTGTTTAGAAAAACACAATTCTCAAGAGATGTCACATAATTTTATCTGAAAGGAAGCAGCTGTTGACTTCGCTAAAAGCAAAGAATTAAATCATGAATCAGTTGTTTTGGTTCTTTCCTGAAATTAAACTTAATTATCTCCGTTCTGTTTGTGTCTCTTCCCTTCAACCAACGAGGACGATGTTCGGCTCTTTACTCTTTTACTGGCTGCGTTTAGAGGTAATAAAGGATCGGTTCTGGTTTGTTCAAAGCTCCATCTTGGACTTACTGATCGGAACAAAACAGGTTTTCTTATAAAACAGTTTGAAAAAGGCTCTTGAAGGAACGCAGATCCCTCGGAGCGTTCCCCCTGAACATCCAGTTCTGCTGAGAAGCAACAGATGTGGGTTCAAACCTGACTGTTAAAGAAATACATTTAAAAAAAAAACTCCCGTTGGCATGAGAAGAACTGGACACATATAAACAGATGTGCTGCAGCTGTGACAGGTGGGCGGGGTGCAGGTGGGAGTGGGCGTGGCCAGCTTGACTCAAGAAGCAGAAAACTAACAGGAGAAGTGAGTGGCAGGTCAAACACACAAGAATCAGAAAACATGAGAACAGATCCTGACAGACGACTTCCTGAAGGTTTCATTAAAACCCGTCCAGTGGTTCAGGAGATATTGTGCTAACAGACACAGCTGAGTCCAGATGGCAACATTTTAAACAAACACGTTGAGGCTCCGTCTCAACCACCAAACCAAAGGTCCGCGTGTTTAAATGTGACTTTCATCGTTTTGTTGTAGCAGCCGGATACTGTCTGTCCGTCCGTCTGTCCGTCCGTCCATCTGTCCGTCCGTCCATCCATCCATCCGTCCGTCCGTCCGTCCATCTGTTCGTCTATCTGTCCGTCCGTCCATCCATCTGTCCATCTGTCTGTCTGTCCATCCATCCATCCATCCACCTGTCTGTCCAGCCGTCCGTCTGTCTGTCCATCTGTTGGCCCAAACATCTGTCCATGCATCTGTCCGTCCATCCATCTGTCTGTCCGTCCATCCATCTATCCATCTGTCTGTCTATCCATCCATCCATCCATCCATCCACCTGTCCATCCGTCTATCCATCTGTCCATCCGTCCGTCTATCTGTCTATCTGTCTGTCCATCTATCCGTCCATCTGTCCATCCATCTATTCATCCGTCCATCTGTCCATCTGTCTGTGCATGTTGTGAGCATGAAAACCTGAAAAATCAGTGAGTACCGACCTCCATGCTGCTGTGTGGCTGCGTCTAGACGTTAAATGGGTTTCCACATCAAAATCCAAGATGGCAGCTGCCACATATGTTTGTAAACATGACACCACGATCATTTGAGCGTTCTCCTTTTTATTTTGTTTCAAAGTAAAGTTTCCTCAAATGACTGAGGTGGCTGAAGTCAAGTCATCAGATTTATTTATAGAGCACATTTAAAACAGAACCTGTTACCAAAGTGTTTAACAAAAACAATAAAAAATCACAGCATCAAATAAAAAGTAACAAGATATATTTACAGCACGTGGGATAAAAATATAAAACACAAGACATAATTAAAAACATTGAAATAGTAAATCAGATCATCCTGAGTCAAAAGTCAAGGAATAACAACAAAAAAGCATCAACTCGGTCAGAAAGAATGAAATACTGAATCAACTGAAGGACAATCTATGGTGGTCAAGGCCACCATTAACCCCCCTCCACCATCGCTCCTGGTGGTAAAATCGCTCCCTCCTCTCACCATCATCCATCACGCTGCGCCGCCTTGGACAAACTAACAACTAAAGAAACCGATCTACGTTCTCCTCCTCAGTGTAACTCCTCCACACTTGAACTTCTCAACAAAAACATTCAGGTTCACTTCATTCCATTCGTTCAGTTCCAGTCCAGAAAAACACTCGTGGAAAACTACAACCCTTCTCTGTTCAGACCCGTCCTCAGAGAACCGCTCGTTAAAACTGGAACTCTGTGATTAGATTTGTCTTCACACACCAGAAATCCCATCATCTGTCGGCACCAGCACCATAAATAAACCAGCAGAACCCACAGATATCCAGCAGGGGGGCCAGGATCGTCTTTTCTTACAACTGATGAGATGTTCTTACAACACGGCAGTGAGAAGACAACAAGCCAACTGTGGATCAGAGGGGGAGGGTCCAAAAAGACCAACAGCTCAGAAACAGTAGGAGTCGTCTTACCTGCTGACCATGGTAAAACACGGCCAGGAGGAACATGGCCATCAGGAGCAACGACGTCTCTTTGGTTCCCAGGAAGTTCCTGACGAAACACGAGAAGATGAAAGTCTGTCAGATTCTTGTTTGTTTGTTTGTTTGTTTGTTCGGCTGCTCGGACAGAGAAAGTTTTATTTATTAAAAGTGTTTTCAGGCACAAAACGCCAAAAGCTTCAATCTGAACCTGGTTGCATGTGAAGTTATAGAACCTCGGAGAACCTCGGAGAACCTCGGAGAACGTGACCAGTGTTTCTGACGCACCAGCTAACAGGACGTTCCACATCTTCGAGGAGGAAGAAGAAACAAACCTTCTAAAAATAAAAACCTCAGCAGCTAAATCTAAAGGAATCTAACAGACTCCGCCCCCTGATCCGATGAGAACAAGCGCTGTGCACACCTGTCGACAGCTGGGCTGTAAACACAACAATCTTCTCCTGGACAAACGTTTGATGGTCAGACGAGACAAAGGTGGAGAAGTTTGGACTCAAACCTGAGAACCAACTGCCCAGCACGGTGGTGGCAGCATCATGCTGTGGCACTACTGACAGGATGGAACCATGGAGGATGACTACCTGAAAATACTACAAGTTCACCTGAGAATACTTCAAGTTCACCTGAAAATACTTCAAGTTCACCTAAAAATACTACAAGTTCACCTGAAAATACTACAAGTTCACCTGAAAATACTACAAGTTCACCTGAAAGTACTTCAAGTTCACCTGAGAATACTTCTAGTTCACCTGAGAATACTTCAAGTTCACCTGAGAATACTTCTAGTTCACCTGAGAATACTTCAAGTTTGCCTGAAAATACTTCAAGTTCACCCCAAATGACAAGCTGGCTGGTTTCAACTTGGACACAATTAGGTGTTCCACCCAGCCTCTAATCGGATCAATCATCAGAACTGGTCTGGATCAATTGTCAGAACCAGCCTCTGGTCTGGATCAATCATCAGAACCAGCCTCTGGTCTGGATCAATCATCAGAACTGGTCTGGATCAATCATCAGAACCAGCCTCTGATCAGATCAATCATCAGAACTGATCGGATCAATCATCAGAACTGGTCTGGACCAATCATCAGAACTGGTCTGGATCAATCATCAGAACCAGCCTCTGATCGGATCAATCATCAGAACTGGTCTGGATCAATCATCAGATCCAGTCTCTGATCAGATCAATCATCAGAACTGGTCTGGACTAATCATCAGAACCAGCCTCTGGTCTGGATCAATCATCAGAACTGGTCTGGATCAATCATCAGAACCAGCCTCTGGTCGGATCAATCATCAGAACTGGTCTGGAAAAATCATCAGAACCAACCTCTGATCGGATCAATCATCAGAACTGGTCTGGATCAATCATCAGAACCAGCCTCTGATCAGATCAATCATCAGAACTGGTCTGGACTAATCATCAGAACCAGCCTCTGATCGGATCAATCATCAGAACTGGTCTGGATCAATCATCAGATCCAGTCTCTGATCAGATCAATCATCAGAACTGGTCTGGATCAATCATCAGAACTGGTCTGGATCAATCATCAGAACCAGCCTCTGGTCGAATCAATCATCAGAACTGGTCTGGACCAATCATCAGAACCAGCCTCTAATCGGATCAATCATCAGAACTGGTCTGGATCAATCATCAGAACCAGCCTC